TGGTGCCACTTATATGAAGAACATAGAGAAAATATTCAGATTTAGAAAGTAGAATGCGACTGCCAGGGGCTGGGGGGAGGGGAACTGAGGAATTAGTATTTATCAGGAACAGTATTTCCGTTTTGCAAGATGAAAAGAATTCTGCAGATGGATGGGGTGATGGTTGCACAACAATGTGAATGTGCTTAATGCCACAGAACTGTACTCTTAAAAATGGTTAAAATGGTAAATTCTGTTACAGATATTTTACCATAATTAAAAACAAACAAAGCTGAGACCATCTTTTTGCCTGCTTCCAGATGGAAAAGGAAGAGAACATGAAAGCAAGAGCCAGAGCTCCACTGCTCAGTGTGCTCTGCCTAACACCCAGCCTGCTTTCCTTCTGGACTTGGTCCTTCTCCAGAAAAGCCTTCTAAAATGACCTTTGAGTTCTGATGAGGCCAGCAACTTAGCCTTACACCAGGCCCCAAAAGCCAAAAAGAAGGGGCAGCCCCGCCAGTGTGGCCCAGTGGTTGAGTGTTGACCTATGAACCAGGAGATTACGGTTCGACTCCCAGTCAGGGCACACGCCTGGGTTGCAGGCTCAATTCCCAGTATGGGGCGTGCAGGAGGCAGCCAATCAATGATTCTCTCTCATCATTGATGTTTCTATATCTCTCCCTCTCCCGTCCTCTCTGAAGTCAATAAAAATATATTTTTAAAAAAAGAAACGGCAGAATTTGGTACAATAATGGGCGGATTACAGGAGGAAAACAAAAGTGGAGGAGAGAGGCAGTAGTTTGGGGTTTCTAGATTCTTCACTGTGTCCACTCCTGAAAAACCAGAGGCCCAGCGCGCCCTCCCCCGCCACCCCCCTCCCCCCTTGTCTGTAAGGCTGCCCTGAGCCCACCTCACCTCAGCTTGCATTTGGGAACTTTCTTTTCCTTGTGGGAAGATTGCCTCCTCCACACCAAATCACAGGGTACGTGGGTGCAGTCAGAAAAAACTTCCCAAATAAGAAAAAGTGATTCCCGAACGTTAGTCCCAACTCAGAGCCACCAGCAGAGAAAGGCAGCAGCCAGTCCTGAGGGCCCAGCCCAGCAGAAAGGCCTCTCGGAGCAGTGCGGAGACAGACACCACCCAGGGGCTGAGCCCTCCTCTCTGCTGGGACTGCTGGCAGCCACAGCGACTGCTGGGTCCCTCTTGGTCCCAGTGAGGGGCCCAGACTAGCCCTCCCCCGCCCCCACCCCCCCCACCCCCGCCGTTGGTTCTCTGGAGCCCTCTGGAGGGCGTTCTTCCTTCTGCTAAGGAACCCACTGAGAGCTGCACACACAACACACCTAACCCCTCTCCCAAAAGCACCCCAGCTCCTACCTTCTCAAACTGAAAGCAGAAATTCTGCAACAATGCGTTTACAAAGGGGGCTAGTTCAACTCAACAAATATTTACTGGTCTCTACCATATAAACCTCAGGCCAGACAATGCAGAAAGATACCAAGAATTAGGGCCCAAGCCCAGCTGGTGTGGCTCAGTGGTTGAGACAATTTTCCCAAAAAAGGAAAAGAAATTTCCCAAGTGCAACTGAGAGGTCAGGGTTTGATTCCCGGTCAGGGCACATGTCCGAGTTGTGGGCTCGATCCCCAGTGTGGGCGTGCAGGAGGCAGCCAATCAATGATTCTCTCTCATCATTGATGTTTCTATTTCTCCCTCTCCCTTCCTCTCTGAAATCAATAAAAAATAAAAATTAGGGCCCAACAATGAAGAAAAAAACACACGTCACAATCTAGTTGGTAAGATAACATTTAAACAAATTAAAACAAATAGTAATATTGTATAAAAGTCAAGTGACAATTTGAAAGAGATTGTGACTAAGTGTTAAGGGAACAGCCCAGCCATAAAATGGTACAAAAGTTAATACATGCAGATTAACTATGGAGGTCTAGGGGGCCGGGGGTCTATGGAGCGAAGCTTGGCAGAAGTGGTAGCATCAATGGTGGCTACTGGCTGCTCAGAGCAGCTAGGCTTGGAGACCACACTGAGTGGGGCCACTGTCCAGGCAGGAGGGCCTGAGCATGCCACAGGAAGTGGTACCTATGCTCCCTGGGTAAAAGCCACACCTATGCAGTTCTGCTAGCCCTGTGGTCACCTAATGCGCAGGGACACTTCACAGAAACCCCTTCATACCAGAAAGAGGCCCACCCCTATTCCTTGTCTGGCACTTACCATACCAGCCAGCAGGCTAACCCTGCCCCATCACCTCTCTCATTCCTAGAAAATCTGATGGCTGAGTCCTTCCGTACCTTTTAAGAACAAGGATGACAACAATTCATGTTTTCATTTTTAAAAATTTAAGTAAGTCATTGACAAGATCTCACAGTTTCTAAGCCTTGGCACTGCTGGCCTCTGGAACCAGACACTCTTTTTGTGGGGGGTGCTGTTCTGTGCATCAAAGCACATGGAGCAGCACCCTTGGCCTCTACCTACCAGGGCCAGTAGCAACCCCTTCTCTCCACACAGCTGTGAAAATCAAAGATGACTCCAGACAGGGGGCCCTCAGAGGCACTGTGGTCCCTGCTGAGAAGACCTCCAGCATGGCCAGAATCCATGCACACACATGCTGCCTGAAAAGCTCTGCTCCAGGCCTCAGGGCTCCTGCTGGCCGGGTGAGGCGGGGACTCCAAGCTTCAGGAAAACTGACCTCTGGGCTGGAGCTCTGAGATTCTGGATCACGCTCATCCGGGAAGTGGCCATGAAGAACAAGGCCTGATACAAACCGCGGGAAACAGGAGCCCGCCTAGAAGCCCCATGGCAATGACCGATGATGCTGACCACGGGCCGCTGGCACCTGACTGCCCCTTCACTCAGCCTCTTTGTAAGTGCAACCCAGACACTTCCTTGCAACCTTGCCCATACATAAGGGAAAATCCTTACATGTGAAATGTAGCTTTAAAGGTATTTCAAAACAACTGCCACGGCTGTTTTTTCACTCATAGAAATAATGCCAGTTTCTTCCCTGGAGAGGCAGTGTATCTGTACCACCCACAGTTTGGGCAGATCAGCACTAACTGGCTCACAGGGTCTTAAGCTCCAAGGTCATCTGCCAGAAAGTGGCCCATGGCCCAAAACTCCCAACTCTGGGCATTCCCCCAATGCCCGCCCTGCAGTCCAAGTTTTTGCTGAGGCTTCTTTCTTTTCTCACGTCACTAGCACAGCTCCACTTCTGCCCAACCAGCATCCAGGTTGCTGGGAGACCAAACTGTACTGCAAGGTGTCAGTCCTCAGGGCTCAACAGCTCTTGGGATGCAGCATGTGCTCTGCGTTTGTGCCCACACAAAGGCGTCCCCGGTAGCCACCCTCTTGGTGCCTGTGCCTCTGAGCTGCAGGGAATGATGAATTGTGCTGGACTCCAGTGAGGCCCACAGGAAGAGCTCCTGACCAGAATCATCGATGTGCACGGAAAGTCCAGGGAACTCATTGCCCAGTCCGGTCTGACTATAACCCAGTAACCTCCGAGGCTCTTCTCTAATTGCTAGTCTTCGCAGGGCTTCTGAACAGGTCACGGGCAGAGGGGAGGACACAGTGACCCTCCAGGCTCTTAGCAGCCCGGCTCCCGCTCCAGTGCCCCTGCAGGCACCACAGCCAAGTTGGGAGAACTCATGGGGAGCACTGGCTCTGCCTCCACACCTGCCTCCTTTCCTCAAAGGAAACGAGTGTCCAAGTGAAATCAGTTTCCCTGCTCCCTAGCGAGTCCCACCACCCCATTAGCACTCACCTCCAACCCAGTCACCTCAAATCACTCTGGATCACAGACGTTTCCGTGGTAAAAACCCTCCGTGGCCCATCCACAATGTACAAATATGCTCACAGAAACAATGAGAAGAAAGAAAGTTCTTTTTAAGAAGGAACCAACGAGGTGATAGTCAATAAAGAACTAAGTGTCATACCTATTAATTCCACACTAGATACCATACCTATTAATTCATCCCAGAAACAAAATAGAGAAAGCATCACAGTACAAAGATTGGGACCCACGTGTGGAAGTGAACCCACTTATATTCACCAATTAGCTGTAATAACCACCCTAAAACCCAAGTGTCCACATAGTCTGAGGCCCTTGGGTAGACAGTCATTTCTGCTCACACCTCTATACCCTGCTTTCACCCTTCCTGCAAAGGGATGGGGTTAATCTATTTTACATGGTGTGACCAGATTTTCTAGGATAATCCCAATTTAAAAATGCTGTACAAATGAATACACTCACATTCACATACTCAAATGGAACCGGAAAAGATGCTCCAATTCTCCATCTCCAACCCTTTATAAAGCTTGGAATTCAGTCATACTTTAGTCAGGAGACCAATCTCCTTTAGAGAAAAAAATCAGTACACAAAATGGGTAGAAAAAAGAAAGCCAGAACATTCTACCTGGTTGGTTTTCGAGTTTGTCTCTAGACCAAGAGCAATAAACACTCATCCAGTCCAGGAAGCAGGAAGCAAACCAGGGGGTGACAGGGCAAGAAGGACCTGCATGCCCTGGCTTAGTGACTAGAAGAACAATGACAACCAGGAAGCTTCTGCAGATCAGTTGGATGAGCAAGACCAATTACAGCCATGGAACTGAGGGGCAGTCTTGGGACTACAGCAGGTGAACACATGTGCCCAACTTCCACATGCCTGTACAGCACAGCCAGCCTCCCATCTGCCCTGCAGGTCCACAGCCTGCTCCACTCCTACTAGGAGTGCTATGGCCAAGTCCAACCCCTAGAAGCCGTGGATAGAAGTGACTTCCTCCCACACTACTTACTCTCACCCATGACCACTGAAGATGCCTTAAACCAAAGGGTCTAGGTTTTAAGGGTCAGCTCTACTGTTGCCACAAGTTCTTCAAAAATTCCAGGCTCCAAAACAGAAGCCCAAGTGAGAGCACACAAATGCTGTGCTCATAGATGATGAGCAAATGCAGCCACAATGAAGTGGCCTGGCGAAGCTGGAGACGAGGAATGGGCCAAGGAGGACACTCACCATCTCATCCAGGGCGTAGCGCAGGAGGCCATGCTCGTAGAGGATAAAGAACCGCCGCTGCCATTTCTGCAAAGGAACACGGAGTGGGTGTTTAGGAGGGTGCTGGCCCTGATCTCCCCTTGCTGAGCCCCGGTATCTGACAAAGCTGTATTTAAAGAATGCTGCTTCCACAGCTGCCATTTCTGAGGCAGATGGCAGGAAAGGAGGGATCTCAGGCGGGAGAACAGTGACTTATTCTCCAGGACCGGGCCCGAGAAGCCCAAACCACCCAGTATGTTTCCATACACGTTACTGAGAATTAACAAGATGTCTGATTCATTTTAATTGCAAGCTCCTCGGGAGCAGAAATGTCTTGATCACCTTTTTGCATTCTCTATGTACCCAGCACAGAGCTTATCACATGGTATGTGTCAATATTTATTTTATGAATTATCTGACACGATATGGACTCACCTGAGAACACCAAGCTCTGATCCCCCACCTCTGAGAAAATATAGGAAACTGCTATAAGAGATTGTTCCAATGATCCACAGGGAATGGGAGACCGGGAAAGAGACAGCCAGCTCTAGTACTAAGAAGTGAGCTAACAAAAACTGACGAGTGGGAACAACTGACACCGATGTCCAGGGAGCATGCGACTGGCAGGGTGCCCTCTCCACTCTCCAACCAAAGGCCAGGCACTGGGACAAGGGTGGTCCAATGGCACTGACAGTGGAATAAAAAGGACCACAAGGGTATGTGCCTCCTTCATGAGGATCCATGACCCGTTTTCAACATTTCAAAAAGCCCAACATAATTCATACTTTTACCGGCAATAAGGCCATAAGAACTAACTAAAACATCATGTCTCTTTGCTTTGGGCCAGAATTACATCATGTATATGACTGACTTCCCATTAGAAGCAGTTCTGTATGACCTCAATATAAATGGTTGCTGCAGACATTGAAGCACAGCTCTCCCGCCTGGTGGCAGGAACAGGACACTCACAGAGCCTTATAAAGAGGACCGTAGAGGACTGATCCACGTTGCATGTCCAGGGAGAAACTCCTCCCGAAAAACATTTCCAAGGCACTATTTGTAGTCTCTAAAGACAAAGCCATTCTAGAAGGATTCCCAAAGGACCCAGACACAATACGAGGTCTGTGGGGCCCACAAGCCCCGCCCTGGACTATAGCATTCAGGCTGGGGCAGCAGAGGCCGAGCCAGGCCAGAGGCTCTCTGAGTGAGCAGGCGGTAAGAGGGAGCAAAGTTGGAGAAATTTATAGGGTACAGGCAGCAGCACCGGGAAAAAGCATGTGGAAAAGGAAAGAGGGTATTTTAATTGAAGTCAAATCCAATGGGGATCCCTGGCAGAGGAATAAAAACCTCTGGTCAGGGGCAAGGCTGGTCTGACCATCTCACTGCTCCAGCAGCCTGTGCACAGCAGGGACCAAGGGGCTGGGCCTCCTCCCTTTCCTAGTGCCTATGTGCTGAGTCCCTGGCAAGGGAGGAAGGGAGGAGAGGAAAGAAGGGAGCTGCAGGAGGCAGGGCCTTGGCACTGAAGGAACTGGGCGCCTACGTAGCAGACCTGCAAACATTGGCTGAACTGCCCTTCTGACTTTTCCTTTTCCACTGAACTATTTCTAGAATCAAAGCTGAGCTATGACGCAAGCAGCACCATGTGAGAGCTTCTCATTGTGAAGGGAGCACCAGATTTAACTACGAGTAATTGAGACGTTTCCTGTGGGTACTCCAAGTCTGCCAAATGGGGGTTCCCTGCAGACCCTACCGCCCCCTAACCTGCTGTCAATTCTGCATCTCCCTCTCCCATTCTGTCAGTATGCCCCTCTCTGGTCCCTCCCATCCCAGGAGTTCATGATTCCCTTACCCGAGACCGATGTACTGGATTGTCAAAGTCAGTCCCATCTGGAGCCAAGAGCAGCCAGCCACCATAAATGGGTTTTGCCTAGAGGAGAAAAGGGCAGGTCATCAGTGGCCTTGGACCGGGGAAGGGGGGGAGGGGGGAGAGAGAGAGAGAGAGAGAGAGAGAGAGAGAGAGAGAGAGAGAGAACAAGTTTCAGTCAAATTAATGACAAGCACTTAGGAGAAACAGAAGTCACCTCTGCTTAGCACATTCCACATAGCTCATCCCCCAGCCACAGGCTGAGTCTCCAAGAAAGATATTGGACACAGAGGCTCATAGGAAGTCTACAGCATCGGGTATGAAGAGCGGAGCACAACACCCAGCAGGAAGCTGAGAAAGTGCAGAGTTTAGGAACTCCTAAGAAACAGATGCCTCTCTCCAGTTCCCGATCACGCTACCAAGATCAGGAAAAAATGGCATTTTCTTCAAATGCCATGTGAGTGCCAATGTGTGCCAGCACTAGTTATAGCACATGAACAACAGAGTCAAAGCCCTCACTCTGATGGTCAAACCAGGGTCTGGGAGAAGAGATACTGTTTTAGTGATCACAGCTAGCACTGGCCAAAGAGTCATCGAATTAGTGGCTGTATGACCTTGGAATGAAAACCCTTTGAGTCTCAATTCCCCCATTTGAAAGGGAGGGAATGGGTAATAATTATACCTAGACCCCATGAAACTTATGTGAGGATGGATGAGATAATACAAAGGAGCATAAAATGGTGTAGCCACTGTGGAAAACAGGCTGCCAGTTCCTCAAAAGGTTAAACGTAGAATTCCATGGAACCCAGAATTCCATTCCTAAGTATACACATCCAAGAAAACTGAAAGCAGGTGCTTAAATAAAAACCTGGACATGAATATTAACAGCAGCACTACAAACAATGACTAAAAGGTAAAACCACTTTAATAACTATCAACAGATGAATGGGTAAACAAACCTGGTATATCCATACAATAGAATATTATTCAGCAATAAAAAGGCACAAAGTGCTGACACACTACAACATGAAGACATTATGCTAAGTGTGAGAAGACAGACACAAAAGACCACAGACATATTGTATGATTCCATTCATATGAATAAGTAAATCCATAAAAACAGAAAGCAGGTTAGTGTTGCTAGGACATGGAGGAAACAAGAGATGGGAGTGAACACTAACACGTATGGGTTTCTTTTTGTGGTGATGAAAATGTTCTGGAATTAGATAGTGGAGACGATTGCATGAACTTGTGAATATGCTACAAATTACTGAATCGTACACTTTAATCTTATGGTGTGTGAATCCTATTTTAAAAAAAAGAAAAAATCTGAGCCTGGCTGGGTGTGGCTCAGTAGTAGAGCATCAATCTATAAACCAGGAGGTCACGGTTCTATTCCTGGTCAGGGCACATGACTGGGTTGTGGGCTCGATCCCCGGTCGGGGAAGGAGGCATTCAGGAAGCAGCCAAGCAATGATTCCCTCTCATCATTGATGTTACTATCTCTCTCTCCTTCTCCCTTCCTCTCTGAAAAACAAAATAAAAAATAAATAAATAAAACTGAGGAAAAAATACTGAGTACAGTGTTTGGCCTCCAAGTGCTTAATAAATGTTAGTTATTATTATATTTTTATATTCAAAGAGTCCCCCTCATCTGAGACCCTGGCAGTAGGAGTTCAACATGAACTAAAAGGTCCAGACAGATCCTCTGGCTCTGCCTCCTGTCTTAGCCACCACAGAGAGTGAGAAGGGGTTGGAAAAGGCATGCGCAGGCCTATCTGTCTACTACCCTTTGGAGGGCTGTAACACAAAGTAAAACCCACCTCTACTTTACATATAAGGACTGCTCTCTGGGTGAGCCTTTGGGGCCCTCCTAAGATGCTTTTTATTTAATACTCTCCAAACTGGGAGGCCCTGTCACACCACATCTTAGAGCTGTGGAATCTGTGACTCAGAAAGGGAAGGTTACTTGCCAGAGGTCACACAGCATCTGGATGAGACAAGAACACTCTTTTTTCTTAGCTTCTGCAGGGTCCTCAAGGCCCCTAAGGGAAACACTGGCTTTTCCCCATGGACATAAACAGAGCAGGTACAAGGGGCATGGAGTGGGCTGAAGGAAGGAAGTTGAGAGGCTGGCTTTGATGAAACACTGAGTGGGTGCTGGCAGGGAACCAGGGTTAGGGACACATCTCAGGAGGGCCATGACCTGGGTGAGGAAATAAATCTGCCTGGGAGAGCAGAGCACACAGCCATCCCCTAGTAGGAGAGCACACCCAGCCTTTCCCCATCATTCAGGTGTGCAGTTGGCAGACCCAGGGCAGCCCGCACGAAGGATGGAGAGGTCAGCGTTAGGGTGGGTCTCCTGGGCCCGGTCAATCCCCACTTTGCTCTCAGCCTACAGTTCTCTGATCTATAACATCGGAAGCTTGGACCACAGTCATAGCTCCCATTTCTGCTTAGCTTTAATTGTATACCACCCTCCTAGTCTCTGGGTGCAGGGCTCTGAGGTACCTTCCCACTATCTGCTATATTTACTGGACCTGTCCCTGAAAGGGACAGTGGGAAACCTGAAGGACTGGCACAATTCCCTCAGAACCCAGCCACTGTTTCATCCCGGCCCACCATCAGTGTCATTATTGACTCAACAAATGTCTACTCAGGCCTACTGTGTGCACAGCCCCATGTGCTGTACACCGGGGAGCCTGCCAGCATCCACTTGCTTGGCTATGACTTCCTTCTACAGAGCACCCCAAAGGGTATCTTTCCAGGTGTGCAGGTTGTCCTGAAAGATGGGAAGGCTGGGCCAATGGAGGACCAGGGCAGGAAACACCTGCTCCGGGAGGAGGAACAGGATGGGAGGCAGGTAACCTTCCATCAAGAACATGTACCAAGGCAAATCCACAGTGACAGGAGGTGGATTAGTGGGTGCCTAGGGCTGGGGGATAGAAGTTGGGGGGTGACAGCAAAAAGGTACAGGGCTTCTTTTTGGGATGATGAATATGTTCTAAAATCAATTGTGGTGATGGGTACACACCTCTGGAAATATACTGAAAATCATCAAATTGTACACTTTAAATGGGTCAGTTACACAGTACGTGAATGTTATCACAATGAAACTGTTAAACAAAGCACTCTACCAAGGCCTGTGTCAGGCGATGGGAAAGCGGAGATAAATAAGAAACTGCTACTATTTTTGTGGGTTCACAGTCCAAAAGAATTGTAAGTTCATGAATCTGTCTCTCGCACCTGAGGAGGCCATATCTGGGAAAGCTTTCAAGTGACCCTGCCCCCCTCCCCAACCCCGCCAGATTTGGGAAACTTAATTCAAAGAAACCCAGAACAAAGTTTCAAAAGGCAGTAGCAATCCAGTCCATTGGTTTGTAGGAAGGGAGGTGGAATGATCTAGAGGCCAGAGGGGAGCAACAGGCAGCAGGCACTGGCCTGAGAGAGAAGAGGTGGAGCAAGAAGCACCTAAGGGTTGACTTGGTACCCACAGCTGAATGATAACAAGAACCACCAGGCGTCCGCTGGGCGACAGCAAGGGAGCAGATGGAGCAGATCTGACTGTGAAGGAGGTAAGCCCCCCTGCCACCCCCTCCCACAAACAGGAGGATGGCCTGGGACAGGAGGACTCTGTGGGCACAGGCACGCGGCAGGAATGACTGCACGTGTGGGGAAATAGGGGAGCCAACCTAGTAGTGCAGAGCAGCTTCTACTGAGAACACCAGATTCTGCAACCCAGTCACAGCCAGAAGAGCCAGACACCAGGACACCCCTCTCAGAACACCTGTCATCCCGACCCGGCCACCTGGCTCAGCAAGTGCTTCTCCCTATACCTCTCAGAGCACCGAATGCCAACAGCAGAGCCCACTGTGTTGGTAGGCCTAGGACAGTGACGGCGAACCTTTTGAGCTCGGCGTGTCAGCATTTTGAAAAACCCTAACTTAACTCTAGTGCCGTGTCACACATAGAAATGTTTTGATATTTGCAACCATATTAAAACAAAGACTTATATTTTTGATATTTATTTTATATATTTAAATGCCATGTAACAAAGAAAAATCAACCAAAAAAAATGAATTCGCGTGTCACCTCTGACACGCGTGTCATAGGTTCGCCATCACTGACCTAGGAGTACCCAGCAGAGCCCGCCGGGTCGGTAGGCCTAGGAGTACCCAGCAGAGCCTGTCCCCGCGGACTGGAGGCTCCCAGCAGTTCTGTGAGGCAGCAGTCACCCCTCTCAATCCTCACCTTCTTTCCAGGGTGAGGCCTCCTGCAGATGGAAGGCATTTCCTTCCTGAAAACCCATAACAACTTGAAATGCAGACCCCCCAAGGAAGCTAGCCCGGGGGACATGCTCTATCACTCATGCAGCTAGTGCTGTTCTCTGGCTGGGTGGCTGGTTTTTTGGTTGTTTGTGTTTTGGGGGAGTGGGGAGCGTGCAGGAGAAGCAGGCATCTGTTGTGGATAATGAGGATCCAAGCTGAGCTGTATGGAACTGGAGATGGACTGAGCTGTTTCAAGCAGGCAACCCTGGAGAAAGCACATGGCCTACCCCCCATCGAAAAGCCACCACCTGAAAGCACTCCTGGCCTGCTTCCCTTCTGCTTCAACAGCTTCCCTCACCGGCCCAATACAGCAGAGGCTGTGCCTCTTTCCGGCTCCTCTCTGGAAAGAGTCGGGTTGGACTCAACCCAAAGCCTTTCCCAAAACGGTTCCCTGAAACCTCTCCTTCCTGGAATATGGGAGACATAACTTCCCTATCCTTCTAAGTACAAATAAAACCGGGGGCATTGGATAGAAGACGGAACAGAGAAGACTCTGAAAGTGAAGAGAAGGCAGGCAGGATGGACACTTCGGGACCCAAGAAACGACAAGGAGGCGGCGCATGCCCTGGTTTTCTTTTTGCCTCCCTGTCCCAGAGGGGGGACTGGAGGAGCAGGCAGCCTGGACATGTCAACGGGCCAAGAGAAAAGCCTGCTTTCTCGAGCCAAAGAGCCAGGGAAGGAACAGCCTGACAAGACAGAAATTCTCAGACAGTAACCACCCTGCTCCAGCCAGAC